CACCCCACCCAGACTCAGTACCCAACTCTACATCTGTGTCTTTTCCCCTGACTACTATTTTTGTTCATGGGGGTCATGTATGACTATCTTTACCCTTTTATCCTTTCTCTTCCTAAGTGTGAGGGGTAAAGCCAGAGGAGGATTTAGGTTGCGCAGTGGAAGAAAGATTGTGTCAAAAATGAGCCATTAATATTTGGAAAATTGTTTTAAGTTTAAAAGCCTGAGAAATGCATAAAATTGAAATTTAATTGATACAGGCAAGTGGTTATGCAAATGATTTTTGCCCATCCTCCCATTTTAGTCAGTTATGTAGTTTTTCAGAACAACTTTCAACCAGTACTTTCTTCAGTTATCTTTGAGATTTTTATAAATTAAAGAAGAAGCAACAGAAAAAAAAGTGATTTGGAAGCTCATTTAAAGTCACTGTGCTTGAAAAAGCAATTATGTGGCTCCTGGCAGTTGTAGGAGAGTGGCTGTCCCCAAATTGAGCTACCAAGGACAGATTGCCAAAGCCCAGAGAAGAATCATTGTGTAAACATTAGAGCCCAGCGGGACCTTCAGAGGCCTAAGTGAGTTGTTTGCCCTGTGTAAATCCCATGCAGTGTTAACAGCTTCCTGGAAATCACTGGCATAGGAAGGTCCGAGTGTTGCTGCCAAGGTTTGATGTCTGCTGCCTGGAGCTCTGAGGAGCACAATTAGCACGTGGTTCCACCATGAGCAGAAACCACCAGATTTCTGCACAGCTGAGCCCACTCTGGCATTATTTTAAAGGCCCTTGGAGAAATACTGAAGGCAGAGCTTCAGGTGCTAGGTAATAGACAATTTAAGAAACATTTCATTTAACGTATCTTAACTATGTTAAGCACACTTGTCTCATTTGGCTGGCTCTAGTGTGGAGAAATGCAGACATGCTCCTTACACTGTTTTCCCATTCCTTGGTATTTCTAACTGCATACCCATCTTCCCCATTGTGGACTTAGCCTCCCAGGAAAAGGCAGCAAGGAGCAGCAACTATTAATAAAAGGTGTACAGGCCAGGCGCGGTAGCTCATGCCTGTAATCCCAGCACTTTGGGAGGCTGAGGCAGGTGGATCACCTGAGGTCAGGAGTTCGAGACCAGCCTGACCAATATGGTGAAACTCTGTCTCTACTAAAAATACAAAAATTAGCTGGGCATGGTGGCGGGCGCTTATAGTCCCAGCTACTTGGGGGGCTGCGACAGGAGAACTGCTTGAACCCAGGAGGTGGAGCTTGCAGTGAGCCAAGATCGTGCCACTGCACACCAGCCTGGGTGACAGAGCAAGACTCTGTCTCAAAAAAAAAAAAAAAGAAAAGAAACAGATGTAGCAAGAGTGACTCAGTGTTACCCATTGTCCCTGGAGACCAGCAAGAGGAAAACTAGAAATGTGAGGCAACTCAGAAAACTTGCTTAAACATCACTGAGGGCGAGGGGATGCAAAAATCGGGCAAAGGCTTCAGGGGCCGGAAATTGGCTCAGCCAACAGTGCAGTGCATGCCTTGAGTTTCAAGACAGCATCTTTCTCTACCTCTTCTATAAGAACATGGTAATAGAGTAGCCAGTCTTTCAGTTTTCCCAGGATTGGGCAGATGAAGCTGGGGTGAAAGAACGCAGTGGGCATCTCTGTCCTGGGGCTACGAGATGACATAGGGAAGTGGAATCTGAAAGACCTTGAATCCATTTCTACTTTGTCTTTCTCACCCTGCAGCCAAGGGCAAATCTTCTCAACCTACTTGGGCTTTAGTTTCCTTGTCTGTAAAATGAGGAACTTTGAGTTTTTTGCAAGGTTTAAGTGAGATGACATTAGTAAATTACCAGCCATTGTTAGTCACTTAACAATGGGAGCTATAATTATTATTTTTATTCATAAGCTGAGGTAAAATATTCTTCCATTAGATTTACAAGACAAGCATCAAAAATTAAAAGAATAGATTTTACATGCCCTAGAACTTGTCCTGCATTATAGTTGTTCAGATGAATCTATATGACTTCAGTTTGTCCTATTCAAAGTTCATGAGCTGAAATCCACATATCAGAACCTGTGGATCCTTTGAGAGAAATGAAAACTTGTTCACAGAGACTCCCCTGCTCCGTTTTAACCTGGCGTGGGTGAGATTTCTCTACCGATACTGAATAAGAAACAAGTGGCTTTTCTTTTTTTTTAGGGAGAAATTCTTGCTCTGTCATGTCACCCAGGCTGGAGTGCGATGGTACTGCAGTCATAGCTCACTGCAGCCTCAAACTCCTAGACTCAAGCCATCTTCCTACCCCAGCATCCCAAGTAGCTAGGACTGCAGCTGTGTGCCACCATGCGTGGCTAATTTTTAAAAATTTTTTGTAGAGATGGGATCTCGCTATGTTGCCCAGGCTGGTCTTGGATTTCTGGCCTCAAGACATCCTCCCTCCCCAGCTTCCCAAAGCATTGGGGTTACAGGTGTGAGCCACCAGTCCCATCCAAGAAAGGAGCTTTAAGCGCATTCAGTTCTTCAGATGCCTCTGTTACCTGCATCCCCTAACTCCAACTTTCCTGCTTCTCCTTCTCCTTTTTAAAGTACATATACTGTTAAACTTCCCAAGTAGTGCTATTTTTTCCCCCATCTTACAAGAACTATTTCTCATTTTCTTCTTCTTTTTTTTTTTGTTTTTTTCTTTTTGAGACAGAATCTCACTCCATCACCCAGGCTGGAGTGCAAGGGCATGATCTTGGCTCACCCCAGCCTCCGCCTCTGGGGTTCAAGCAATTCTTCTGCCTCAACCTCCCAAGTAGCTGGGACTACAGGCGCATGCCACCATGCCTGGCTAATTTTTGTATTTTTAATAGAGATGGGGCTTTACCATGTTGGGCAGGCTGATCTTGAACTCCTGACCTCAAGCGATACACCCACCTCAGCCTCCCAAAGTGCTGGGGTTACAGGCGTGTGCCACCACGCTCAACCAGTATTTCTTATTTTCTTCTAATAAACCTTCTAGAGTTCCACGTTAGAAAGCTCTAGAGAGAAACATTTTTTAAAGAGCTCAGGCTTAAAAAACAAAACAAAACAAAACAAAACAACTCTGAATATTTAAATGCCACTCCACCCAGTGAAAACTTTGCTTCTTACTTCATGAACCAGGTAATAGTTATAAATTAACCTTCATCTCATCATCTACTAATAAGCTGTAATTTCTCCGTGAGATGTACAGGGTTTTGAGCTAAAATGCTAGACTACATTTTAAGCAGTGCATACATCAGCTTCTAACTAAGCTAACTTTTCATTCGAGCATTTTCATTGCAGCACTTTTTCTAATCAAGTCCCTGTAATCAAAGCTCATTTTTAGTTTTCTTTGACATCATGGCATTTTGTCAGTATAATCAGACGTTCTGTTTAAAAAAACAAAAAACTGGAAACACACAATTTTTCAGAATAATCTTTCAAAAAATCTTTTTCTGGATCCCACTTTATCTCCTTCCCCTGTTCTATTTTTAGAAGATAAATAAGCTTACACACTCACTTTAAAATAGTGAAAGGCTTATTGGTAGGAAAAAAACCTTAAGCCCTGTTCAACCTTGATATTGATAAATTCTTAAAAGTGAGGGAAGGAAGTAGGGGAAAAGGCACTCTGGTACCTGATGCCTGTCCCTTATTTGGGCCAAGGGAGACCTGAGACAAATAAAAATGGGGAAAAGAGGGGACAAGAAGTAGTGATTGTTAGAGAGGCTGTCTGAACTAATAGCAATGTTAGCTTATTTATATTTTACAAAATATTCTGGCCTTGTCTCTTCTGAAACTTCAAATGATTTGTATAGAAACAAGGACTTGATTAACACGAAGTCACCTCCATACAGTGAATTCTTTGACTTGTCTTTGCGGGTTAGTTCATGTGCTTTGCTAAAGTTGTCATGAACTTTAGGGAAGGAGTTGGGTCTTCATTCCATGTATGTGAATTTTGAATCCAGATTAGCAAGATGTTAGAACACGGGAAAGGCTATTTCAGACTAACTCGTTTTGGAGTAGTGCTTTGGAGGGATCATCATGGATGTAGTGACTAGATAGAATGCATTTTCGGGACAGTCCCACTTTAAAAACCTGTTCCCATCGATGTGCCTGTGGTCTGATTTTTAGTTCAGAAAGTACAACCACTTCCACAAGGGGTTCAGATCTTTATACATTCTGCAAGTTTTAGAACCCAGTGTCAAGCCTACATAGGGATGTGTGTCATGCCTTTGGAGAGCCACCTCCCACCATAGAGACACGTGTGAGTTTGATTTGTTCCAGAGTTGCAGTTTAGATACTCACTCTGAGTAGTACCTTTGCAGAGGAAGCTGTTTAACCATGGGTCTCTTGTGTTCCAAGGAAACAAATCTACTCAGGGAACCAGATTGAGGTGGAATCAAAACAAATTTTGATGAGGATTTTCTTAAATTCTTCCCTTAGCTGCAGAACTTCTTTGTTAATGATGTGTATGAAAGCTTACCATATAAAACAGGTCAAAGCTGAGGCAAGGAGCTAGAAAACCCACCCTCTGGGCGTCTCCTTCCCATCCAGTAGCAGCCCGAGGCCCTGCTAGGAGGCCTTTCAAGACACTGTTGAACTTGGTGGGCTTAACCATACACTGAGCTGGCGCAGCCGGGGATCCATCTCAGCCCCTGCTTCCCATTCAGCCAGACCCAGACCCTGCATTCCAGCTTTGGTTGTGTGGATCCTCTGGAGGAGGACCCTTGGCTGTTTGTCCCCATGCATTTCTTGATGTCAGGCAGCCGCATCCGCCAGTTGTGACTGTCCTGCCTGGACTACAGGTTTGGTTGGATGTGCTCTACAAACCTTGCTCCTCTCAAACGTGCGCTGCCGTGGTGTAGCTTCCGGCGCTTCACTCTACTTCTCTCTGCTGGGATCCCTAGTGGGGCTGGATGCTTGTACCAGACTGTGGAAATGGGGAACATACAACTTGGTTCTCTTACCTTCGCCAGACTTCTCCTGACTACATTTTGTTTTGTTCAATAGATGATGATTCAGATCTGTACTCTCCCAGATACTCGTTTTCTGAAGACAGTAAGTGACTTCGAATAACCTGGTTGTGGGGGAGGAAGGGAAAGTGGTGGATGAAGGAAGATAATCACCCTGTTTTCAGTTTTCATGAGTTTTAAGTCTTTTGTCTGCACTCTTTCTCCAGCAAAATCTCCCCTTTCTGTGCCTCGCTCAAAAAGTGAGATGAGCTACATTGATGGTGAGAAGGTAGTCAAGAGGTCGGCCACGCTACCCCTCCCAGCCCGCTCTTCCTCACTGAAGTCAAGCCCAGAAAGGTAAGTGCCCACTTGTCTCTCATTCATCCAGCCTGGGCCTCGTCAGTGTTCATTGAGACCTAGGAGCCTCCATTCTTAGGAATGTGGAATTTGAGTCTGTCTCCTGTCACCTGTTAGCAGTGACTTCTTATTTCTTAGCCTCAATGTCCTCCTCTGTCAAATGGGGATAAAAATAGCGTGGTTCCTAGTAAGGATAGTGCAAGGATAAAATGAGATAGTGCATGTAAACATTCCTGGTAGCACTTGGCTCAGAGTATGAGCTTAATTAATATTGACTATCATTATCATCACTTTTTACATTTTCACAAGAGAAATCTTAACTGCAAGATTTGTCACATGTTGTCACATTCTTTGTGCATACTGTGTTCACATATTCATAGCAATGACTATAACTTTAAAAAGAAGCCACACTTTTTAATGTCCATTTACTCATACAACATGTATTATTGAGACATAAGCCTTGGACTTGTTCTAGTGACGACATTAATAAATCTCTTAAAATGCCTGCACCAAACAACACAGTTTTCTTTTTCTTGGGTTTTTTTTTTTTTTTGAGACGGAATTTTGCTCTGTCGCCCAGGCTGGAGTACAGTGGTGCGATCTCTGCTCACTGCAACACTCTGCCTCCTGGGTTCGAGCAGTTCTCATGCCTCAGGCTCCCAAGTAGCTGGGACTACAGGTGTGCACCACCACTTGCGGTTAATTTTTGTGTTTAGTAGAGACAGGGTTTCACCATGTTGGCTAGGCTGGTCCCAAACACCTGACTTGAGTTCTTATCCCTAAAAATGCCCTCTGAAGCAACTTTCTCATGCTATTTGGACAGGTGTTCCATGCATCTTCCAGCCCCAACTTACACTACTTCTCAACTCACAAAAGGCTCTGGCCAAACGAAAGTATTTACTTCTTCCTTAAATACACATCCAATTTCATACCTCTATACCTTTTCCAATCTCATAGACAAATTAGTGGCTGTTTTAAAAGCACCACACAAATTTAAGTGACATCTGCCTGAGGAGTTTGATAATTAATTTGAAAAGAAAGCTGGGTATACCTGCAAATCCCTTATAGGTACCTTCATCCAGAACCCACTGGGTGTATTCTCTGCAGATGTATTATGGAAGGATATAGGTATATAAAAATCATTATCTGCCTTCAAGAAGTTTACAGCCTTGCATGAAAAACTTAATATAATCACAGAGCAAAGTACAGTAATACACAAATAAAAAATTTGCAAAATAGAGCTTATAGTAACCAAAACAGCTTGGTACTAGCATAAAAGCAGACATGTAGACCAATGGAACAGAATAGAGAACCCAGGAACAAATCCACACACCTATTGTGGACTCATTTTCCACAAAGGTGCCAAGAACACACACTGGGGGAGAGACAGTCCCTTCAGTAAGTGGTGCTGGGAAAACTGGCTATGCAGAAGACTGAAGCTAGACCCCCATCTCTCACCATATACCAAAATCGGTTACTGACTTGAATCTAAGGTCTCAAACTATGAAACTGCTATAAGAAAACATTAGGGAAAATCTCCAGGACATTGGTCTGGGCAAAAATCTCCTGAGTAATACTTCACAAGCTCAGGCAACCAAAGCAAAAATGGACAGATGGGATCACATCAAGTTAAAAAGCGTTTGTACAGCCAAGGATACAATCAACAATGTGAAGCGGTAACCCAGTTACCTCTTCCCTATTCCAGTATGGAACAGGGAAGAATGCAATTATGGTAGCAGCTAACATTTATTGTGTGGTTACCATGGGCCTGGTACTCTGCTCAGTGATTTACATGCGCTGTCTCATGTAAATTGTTTAGTCTTTACAACAACCCCATTTTTCAGATGAGGAAACTGAGATACCAAGAGGTGAAATACTTGTCTAAGATCACCTCGCTAGCAAGGGGTGTGGCAGGATTTGAACCACAGTCAACTGGCTCCAGGACCTGTGTTCTCTCTCACTGCAGTAGTGTGAGTGGGAAGTACAGGCATGTCTGTGGAATGAAAAGCCCATGAGAGTGAAGCAAGGTGAAAGATTTTTCCAGAGCCAGCTTTGATGCTGCTGCCACCTCCTTTCCTGTTGCTTTCTCCTCTCCCCTTCCTGGTGCCTGGTTTTGAGCACAGGACATCTCAAACCTTTTGTGACGTGAACACCAAAGTTTAACTGGTTGTTTTGAGAAGCAAACCAGCACAACTAAATTGTTCACCCTGACTCCGATTTTATGCTTTGGATATAAAGTTCTTTGATTACCCTGCAGCCATCCAAAGTCAGACTGTGCCAGAAGCGAATGCCAGTTGTCATGAAAACAGCTCTAATAGAATTTTCTTTCTACAGAAATGACTGGGAACCCCCAGATAAGAAAGTAGATACAAGAAAATACCGTGCAGAGCCCAAAAGCATTTACGAATATCAGCCGGGCAAGTCTTCCGTTTTGACCAACGAAAAGATGGTAATGTGCATATTAAAGTTCTTTTGTCTCACCTTGCCCATGTTCTTTAATCAGAATGCATTGTGCAGTTGGATTACATTCTTTCCCCCTTGAGATAGACTTGTTTTGTTTTGAAGATAATGACAAAAATGAAATACTTTTACCATTTTCAGTTTTGCAGGTGTTCATAAAACAAGTCCCGCGAGTCTGCTTTTAAAAAATCCTCTTACTGTGGCTCTGTTGCTCTTTTTGTGCATGGTTTTAACTAATATTAATTTTTCTACTAACGTAAAGATTGATTTTGCTGCTGTCTTTTTTTAAATGTCTAAGTGTTCATTTATCAGGCTTGTCATTAAGTGGACTGAAGTCCAGTTTTTTTTAAGTGACTCTGAACAGGCATAAATTTTGTACAAGTTGCTAGAACATCATTAAAAGCTACATAACTAATAGGATGTTGTGACTTGGAAAAAAGGCCCCAGGCTGTTAGAATCTATCTTTTAGGTCTTCCTTTTCTGACAAGTGCAATATTGCGGACTAATTTCATATTCGACCTGGTTTATGATTCCCTATAACAGTTCACATCTCTAAGCAATTATGAGTGGGGGAAATGGTGTGTATGCATATAGCAGACCACCCTGGAAAAGCGGCCTCTTCTGTGAAACAGGGAGAATTCTTACACATTCGGTAGTTTCATACCTGCCAATCATGTGTCCTTTTATTCACCCTTCATTAGGAAAAGCTGGTTTGGAATTGTGGTCCTAGTTAAGGGGTTCTCCAAAGCTTCATAAACATTGCAGTCCTCCAGCGGGACAGCAGGATGGAATTACTATGCTGGGGGTTGGTTTTTATTAAAATGTGGTCACCACAATGTGTGCAGAATAAGCAGGCCTCTGAAATGCAGGCTCCAATTATGTTCCCTTTGCCTCTTCGGCTCTACAAGTTTTGAAAAAAGAATCGATTTGACTTCTACTGAGATAAAAATGTGACATCTCTAAAAGCACTGAACGATAACTCATTTTAATTAGGAAAAAAGGTCAACAGGTCACAGACATACTTGGAGTTGTCATTCTGCAGCGTTCACTATGCACCACAGTTATTTCAAGCAGAAAGTTCAGAGAGGAGCACAGAATTTTACCACTGCCCTTCTTTGGAGGTTCTCTGCTGTTAGAAGATACCGTACGTAAGAAACATGGAAGGTAACCTTGCACCCAGGTGCCCCTGCAAAGAAAGTCATGCTCCTTGGGTTTATTTCCAACATTAATAATAAGTCTGGGACCCACCATTACATATGAATACATTTAAATGATTTCAGGGACTCTGTAGACCTTTGGGTGTTTTTGTCTTGGCAGTATCACCGTTTATAGTTTTTCATGGCTCTTACTGAAGGCTCCCTTTTCTCAATTTCTCCTTTGTTTCCAGCTCCTTTCCCTGGTTCTTAGTCATTTAACCACTACTGAGAACTAGGAAAAACAACATAGTTTTGTTTTTCTCATTGATACTGCGGTAGTTTATGAGAATCTTCCATACCACACTTCTTGGGATCATTTACGTTGTTTTTACAGACCCTGAAAAGTAACACATAGTGCCCCATGGGGCCCTCTTGGAGAATGGTGGTGAGCATGCACATGGATTGCAAAGCTGCTCTGTGTAGTACCAAGCCCTAGGCCAAGCCGCTAATGGGGCTTGAACACCAAAGGCAGGCCAGGGCGGAGTAGGAATGTCCAATAGTTTCACCCAATTTAGCTCTGTTCCTCCAAAGAGAAGTTTTAGTTGAATCTTAATCTTTTGACAGTCTGCCCTTCACAGTAGTCGAATTCATCCTTTATGTTTGATTTCGTTTCCTGCTATTTTTATCACATGGACAGAAAAGGTGAAGTGTGAGTTTCAGCATGCGAGTCTTGGCTTTTGGTATCTAGTATCTGGTTTGCCAGAATCTGAGCGTACACCCCCAAAACACACACTTGCATTGTTAACTGTGGGTAAGTATACTCACTAGTGAGAGATGTAGAATCTAAGTCTGCTCTCAGATACGCACTACCTCATTTTGGGAGAAAAACTGCTTTTTCCATTTGAGGTACTGATGTCTGCTTAACTCTGGCAATTTAAATTGTGACTTCATAGGCACATCTATGCATGGTTAGCAGGAGAGGTTGCCCTGGAGCTCACCTTGCCCCTGGAGCATACTCAAATCATTCCAGAAAGATGGAAGAAACACTGTACTGCCTTCAAAACTCCCTACAGAAGACTTACAACCTTGATGACCTAGTCATCTATTTGAAAGACTCATATGAAGGTCTTTTTTTTTTTTTTTTTTTTTTTGAGATAGGGTCTCACTCTACCACCCAGGCTGGAGTGCAGTGATGTGATCATGGCTCACTGAAGCCTTGACCTCCCAGGCTCAGGCAATCCTCTCACTCTCAGCCTCCCAAGCAGCCAGGGCTACAGGCATGCACCACCATCCCCAGCTAATTTCTTTCTTTGTTTTTTTGAGACGGAGTCTCGCCCTGTTGCCCAGGTTGGAGTGCAGTGGTGCAATCTCAGCTTACTGCAATCTCTGCATCCCAGGTTCATGCAATTCTCCTGCCTCAGCCTCCCGAGTAGATGGGATTACAGGCATGCACCACCACGCCTGGCTAATTTTTGTATTTTTAGTAGAGATGAGGTTTCACCATGTTGGCCAGGCTGGTCTTAAACTCCTGGCCTCAAATGATCCGCCCACCTCTGCCTCCCAAAATGTGGGATTACAGCCGTGAGCCACCGTGCCTGGCCCCAGCTAATTTTTTTTTTTTTTGGTAGAGATGGGGTCTCACCATGTTGTCCAGGCTGGTCTCAAACTCCTCGGCTCAAGCAATCTACCCCTCTTGGCCTCCCAAAATGCTGGGACTATAGACTTGAGCCACCAAGCCTGGCACGTATGAGGGTCTTTATCTCTGCTTGGTCCCCTCTTATCATAGTAGGATACCTTTTTCTCTTCTAGCCTTGGAATTGGAGATCTATTGGTCAGTCCTTGCTTTGTCAAAAATGACCTTTTTCAGGACTCATTCTTCATCATACCTTCCTCTAAGTCTCTTACAGAAGTTCAGCTCAGTTAAATACGTATATATATATATATATGTATATATATATGTGTGTGTGTGTGTGTGTGTATAGTAGGACAGATAGATATTAAAAGAGTGATTACAGACACAGTATACATTTGGAAGTGTAAAACAAGGGGATTTATGCAGCTTGGTTTCTTCCCAGTTCACCCTCACTCTGAGTTCCTTCCCTGACTTTTCAGCATGGTCATTTAGCCCTGCTTTAGCTTGGTGTCATCGCAAACTTAGTGGGCCTGTCCCCCTGTGATGTGGAATATGAAAAGGGGAATGTGGTATAGTGTAAAGAACACTGGACTAGGAATTGGAAGATCGGGTGGGTCAAATGTGATAATATGGGTACAGTAACTATGAATATTAATCAAGTACTACACAGACATACCACATTCAGGTGATTTATTTAATTGGAATTTGAAGCTGGTCTCTGGCTTCTATTCAAGAAGCAAAACTGTCTTTGAGGAGAAGCTGGCAATTTTCTGGTGAGTTACCTGCCCTTTTCCAAGGATTTTTTTTTTTTTTTTTTTTTTTGAGCTGGGAGAATAGCCTGTGGTACTAAGGAACTTCCCCAGGCGTTATGGAATTTTCCTTGTCTGCCAGGCCAGAGTTCCTGCTCTGTGTCCAGAAGGATGTTTTTCTATTGGTCTGTTCCATAACAGGATCCACAGCTGAGTTATACTTGGCAGAATCAAATGCAGATGTGAGGGCTGTGTGGTATCACCTTTTTAGCTTTATCTCTGGGCAGCTCAAAGGACTGAGGCTGGTTGCTCTCACCCATCGCTGTTTGACATAACCTCCTGATTCTATTATGGGCACAGCATTAACCTCCACAGTAAAACAATCTGCAGACAACCTTTGGGAATAAAATTGAGTTAATTACTTCGGGATCATGAGTACCAAAACTTTCAGGCAGTTTCCCAAAAGAGTTGGTATATTTTATTTAAGAAAAGAGAAAAAAAGCCTAACCATCCCCAGAGGGCAGTTTATAAATAATCTTTGTAAAAATAACAAACATGAAATAGATTTCATGAAACCCCATCATAGTAGGATCTAGAAAGTCCCAGTGTCTAAATTGCCACTCCTGAATAGTTGTGTTTTTGTACATATCGTACCTCCTTTCGCTGAATTGAATAAATATAGAAGCCATTTACTACAGTGAGAGCAAGCCTTCTCCTTCAGGATTTAAACCCTAAGTCCCTAAAGACAACTGGAGGAGGTTTTATCTGCATGCAGGAGGACAGGCCTTGTGTTTCAGTATGTATTTCCCTCCGATTTCAACCTAGCTTGATTTCAGTTAAAGGAAGGTTCCCTGCTGTATTTCCATATCGTCCTCTACCTGTAGCAAAAGTGAAAGTAATGCTAAATATTCTTTTAAAGATCTTAGAAAAAGGGATTGGTAAAGGTCACTAAGAAAGTTAGCAGCCATTTCTACAAGCTGCAAAGGGGATGTTAACTATGTTGTGAGAAAAGTATAGTCAAGAAGAGCTGGTTTGTGAAGCACTAGCATTAAAGACCTGCACACCAGACATGGCAACCCCCTACCTCAGATGTTATAGCCCAGAAGTAGTGAAGTTTGTTGTGCAGTGTTTTCAATCTCAGTAGAAAGTGTATGCATTTTATATTTCAGGTTATTGTAGAAAATCACCCCAACTCTCTTTTCGTGATTACCAAACTTTTTTGAAACATATATACATATTTAATTAGTCATGAACCTCAAACACTTTTGCCTGATGTGAACATTTCTCCAATTTATTTAGGGGAAAACCTGATTTGCTTTGCACGTGTTCGTTTTCCAGCGAGTTTCTTCCAGAAACACGTGATACTCCATGAAATAGGTGCCAGAACTTTATTTGGTTAAATATTATATCCCATGGAATCAAATTATCAGTCTATTGATACCTCATAGTGTTATATAAAGTGAGAAATCTAACTTATTTTTGTCACATAACTCAGAAGTTTTTTCCCCTTTGTTCTGTTATCTGTCTTGTCTAGCTTTTCTTTCACTTTATTTTTTCCCAATTCTTTAACATTTATTTGTTAAAATATGAAGTATATTCTGTCTGTATTCATCCACCATGGATGCTTGTTTAAAATGTTTTTTTCACTGTGTCCTCTGTCTTTACTTATATCATTTTTCACTTTCACTTTACTATGTACGGGACATGGTTTCCTACCTACTCATGTGCCATTAAAGATGCAGTATTAACCAATTGGCTTTTATAAAGTGTCAATATTTGCGTTTATTTCTAAAACCTTAAGGTGGCTTTGCAAATAAGTACTAAAGTTGTACTAGCCCATAAAAATCTGCTCTACTCAACTGGCATAGATGGCTAAATGTTTGGTGTGCTCACCAGGTAATTTGCTCATAACTAATAGTTCTTTGTAAAGGGCTTTCTTTTCTTCGACATTACTGAAGATTGTTGCAGAATGCTGTTATGCCCAGATTCAGACTTGTTGTGTAGGCAGCGGTGTGGTGCAGAGTTGTCCATCTGTAGTCCATTTTCTTCTGCCTTAGGGCTGAGAATGATTCACTCACTGTCCCCTGCCTCAATTTCCCTGTTTTTGTAAACCTGTCCTCTCCCTCCTGTTTTTGCTGTTGTCAGTAAAAACAGATGATTGCTGCTGTTGAATGCAGCTGCTGTATATACCTGGAAACCACTGCATCTCTACTGGCCTGTTCCTATGTAATCTTTGCATAATGTTATCCTTCTCTTTCTTCCATTTCCCTATCACCAACCCCTATAGAGTCGGGATATAAGCCCAGAAGAGATAGATTTAAAGAATGAACCTTGGTATAAATTCTTTTCGGAATTGGAGTTTGGGAAACCGGTAAGTTTAATAGCTTCAGTGGTTATACACCTTTTAAACTAATGCTGTGGATGCATTGTTGCTGCTAAAGAATCAGATGTTTGTAAGGAATTCAGAAAGCAGGGAGCAGTCATGTTAGTTGTCCGTAGTGGGATTGTCTCTTCTCACTACAACCTCTAAGCTTTCCTTTGCCTTACTTCACTGAGAAAGGATAGTGAGCTCTGGAAGTATATCTTGCTGGAATATCCCAGAGAAACACAAATAATAATCATTGCTTGTCTTAGACCTCCCCCGACTAACAACAAGTATCACATGCCTTGTGGATGGCATTATTTCAGTCATTGGTTCACTTCCTTGACCGAAGTCTTTATGGCCTGTGAAAGACAAGCTGAAAATGCATTACACACTGAGAAGACCAGCATTGTCTCTGCTTTAAATAGCACTTGTAAAAGCACATATGTAAATGAAGTCCCAGAGCAGGCCAACAAGGACCTTTTTATGCAGATGTGACCCACAAATGCAACCCCATTATAGGTGACTTTTAGGGGATGATTTCTATTTCCCAAAGTTTGAAATGGGAGTAAGGAATTTGAGCATATTTAGTATTCAGCCTACTCTTGCCCCATGATATCTCTGAATCGGCTCTGGTACAAATTGACTTTTGGCACTTAAAGGAGGATTTTCTTAGCCTTGCACCCAATGGAATATAAAATAGAAGGGAGAATTGAGCTCATCCTTCCTCTAGAGATAACTGGAAACTGACTTTAAAACTCTAGTTACTTTAAAGTCTTAATTATTATAGCTGCAAAAAGAATTTACAGGTAGAGGAGTTAAGTGTATAAACACATTTTATTCAATGATTGTATGAGACTTTAAGCATTGGATCCAGCTTTTGAGTTTCTATGGTCTGGATGATAGTTTTATTTGCAGACAGGAATGAATTTTATAGTTCAGTAAAATGTCTTAAGATTTTTTATTAAAACAAAGACAAAGAGAAATTAAGCTGGTGCTTAGGAATTGCTCTTTGATTTGGCGGTGCTGAGCTTTGAAAGTTCAGGCATCTTCTGAGTTAAGAGCACCAGACTTGCAAACAGCCTGCTTGTTCCTCTCTTCTGGTCCCTCCTAGACACTGTCTCCCGATAGCAGCTGAGCTGTCCTGGATGAACAGCGCCACCTAGTGACCAGTGGAGAGGGACGCATCTGACCCAAAGTCTGCACCCTCCTTCTCCCCTTCCCAAAGCATTGGTGCACACCTCATTTCTTCTCCTTCCTCTCCTTTTTTTCCCCCCTCTGCTGTTCACCATTCAGACATCAGTTAAGTCTACCTCAGGAAATCTTTTCCACGTGCAGTATTTAACAGTCTCCTAACCCTTTCTCTTTTCTTCTTTTTCTTAAAACCTGGTCAATTATGTCACCAAGAAAAGCTTTTGCTGTGTGTAGTTGTCTCCCCACCCCCAAAACAGACCATGATTGGTATATGAAACAATAATGCCACACTGTAATCAAGGAAAGCAAAAGCTATTAAATTACATTTCATAGAGTCCATGCCATTGCTTTTTGAAGTCTGTTTCAGAATCCACAAATTTCTGCCTATCTCATCTGCCAAACAGCTACATCAGGTTTGTCTAAAATGTTAGCTTTCAGGAAACATGGTGGAACTTTTTTCCTAATTAGTTGTGAATGTTTTACTAAATCTATCATTACAAATAATTTTTGAGGATAATATATAGTATTTTGATGCCAGCATACATTAAATAGTCTCCATGCATAGCTTGATAAATTAACAGTATTGCTGCCAAAATCTTCACTCCAGGTACCACACATCTAACTTCAAACAAATGTTGAGAACACAGTCCAGTTGTATACTGGGGCCTTCCTCTAGCTTGTATCCCTACCCCATTGCTCTAACTGCCTCTTAATTATTTAAAGACTCAGAGATGCTTTTTCAAAATAGCATTTTCTCTGAAGCCACATGCATTCTTTGCACAGGCCTCAGAGTTCTTCTAATGAGACTGTTCCTTTTTGTGTAGGTCTTATTTTAAAAGGTAATACTTGTGAAGACTTGCCAAATTAACTAAATCAATGCCCATATCCTGAGGAATAGCCCTGAAATGAACAGCTCCTTATGGTCTGAGGCATCCTAATGGTGGGCTTATGACCTAGTTGAACCAACAGGGTTTGGGAGGAAGGTGTGGTAAGGAAAAATTTTTTCTTCACTTCCTACTCAAACCACTCTGCCACAAAAGAATAAGAGACATAAATAAATAAAGTGGCACAAACCATGGAAGTTGTTTTGGAAAGTTTTTCAGCCATTCAGAAGCAGAATCAAAACTACCAGATCATGGGAATTAGCATTTCTACTTTTTTTTTTTTTTTTTTTTTGTCACACCAACTGGGAACCACTTTCCCCGAGTAAAGCCTGTCAGAACTTTGACACTAGACATTTACCCTGAACTCCTTGCTTCCTCCACCCCTTCGCTTAAACCCCCCAAAACGAACTGAAATTTCAGCAGGATTCTCACTAAAAAGATACCTTTTTAGCTCCAACAAGTTGTTAGAATAGCAAATAGTTCAAGACTCCCGGGACCATTTTTGGATGGATTATTTAAAACCAGTTTAATTTGTAAACACTGTCCTGTTTATTGCAGTAAAGAAAGAAATGATTATAAGTCATTAGACTTTAAAAAGTCTGCTTCTGCAGATGAACAGTCCCAGTGTATCAAGTGCTTAAAGATGAATGCTAATTGCTAATATCACTTACTTGATGAAATGCAGAATATACATGTGCAGAGATGACATTACTGACCTGTTGCTGTCAGTGGTGAACACACCTTGGAATCAGATTACTTCTCATTTGCAGATGTATTACAAAGAGCCTGGGAATCAGCTTCTTCTTCTGAGTTGTTTTCCTCTAATTTCTATAGAAATTGATGTTATTTCTATATGTAAGAGCAAGTCAAAATTTCACAATGTGAACCAATTTGAATGCTTCCGTAGAGTTGGCTATAATGAAATTTGCACAAAAGTTTAGGAGCTGTTAGTGATCTCCTATTTCTTATCCCGCTAGAGGTCATTATGTAAGAAAACTCAAGTCTAAATAGGCAGAAAAGTGGAAGAGAGGATCCAGAGTTAAAAGTCACCTGTAACCTCTGAATGTTCCACCCTCTAAACTTGCAACAATCTTTTGGCAAATTTCTGTCTTAGGAATGCAGCTCTAAATCTGACTTGAAGAGTTAAAAGACAAAACAAAAATAACCTTATAGTCCCCTCTTTAAATTCTGGGTTTAAACTCTGTTCTCTAAGAGGGGATGGAAAGTATGTCTCCACCACTATCAAGGTCTAGTTAAATTGTAAAAGGAGATTTTAAAACTACTGGTATGAAATTGCCTAGTGCACTATTTAACACCCATTTTATATGTGGATTTCGTTGCTACAAACCACGGAAAGTACATTTGGTTCAGTCCATTGATCAATCCAGTGATCATAGATTCACATACGTGTTAATACACAATGAATTTTACAGCAGAAGACTGCCTCAAAAATGTAGAATCTTCAGTGTCAATCTTAGTTTGAAAAGAACAATGAGGAATTTAAAAGTTTCTATTTTTGTTCAAATGTGTGTTAATGCTTTTCTTTCCCCCTTCTTTTCTTTTTTTAAGTTTTCAATATTTAGAATCCAATGATGATTTGCTCTTGAAACGTAGACATAGAAACAGACTTCCTAGGTCATGGTCCCAGCTCCCAAGTCCTCAGGCTTCTGCTCCAGCAGGCAGCCTTGTGTCTGTAGGCAGCACCCACTCCCCTTACTTTTGAGTTCACCTTTCTGTGTTGATACAGTTCTCCTAGTGTGCCCCTCCTTGTTTGAGCCAGTCTCCATGTTTGTCTTTATGTCTTTATGCTCATTTCTTCATTTCCTCCTCTGCTTCCCGTCAGCCTCCCAAAAAGATATGGGATTATACTCCTGGAGACTGCTCTATCCTTCCTAGAGAGGATAGAAAGGTAATTCCGCTGTGCCTCCTCCGTTGGACTGTGTGTGCTCTCTAGCCTTGGTTAGTGTGAGTGTGTTGTGGGTTTGTTTTTTGGTTTTTGTTTTTGTTTTTTTCTTAAATCACTTTTTAAAAAACTTGATGCTTTTTTTTTTTTTTGGTTTGGTAATAAAACTATTTAACAAATTCTCTAAGACATATACTAATGTTTAGAGGTTTTTAAAGCAATTATGTGTTCTTCTGACCAATAGTATTTGTCACCATCACCACACTCTGAAAAAAGAGAAAATAGGCATTTCCTTAAAGGTAGGTTTTTATAGTTCTCTTTGGCAAGTAGAATGGCTTTTTGAAGCTCTGATGACTTCAGGATTTCTGTTTTATATGCCTAATGTTACATTCTCTGTTTTCATGTCTTCAACTAATTTCCAGTGAGCTCTCGTGTTTTAGTCATGCTATCTTGGCCATATGAAAGTATAACACTAAGAAAAAAATTCATTTTTTCTAACTTAACCTTCCATTCTTTCTCCCTTTCGTCTAAACTAAAACCTTCTTTCCCATCTTTTCTTTCTTGAACCAGACTAATCTAGACAAAGATCTCAGCCTCTGCCAGACAGAGTTAGAGGCAGATTTAGAAAAAATGGAGACGCTTAATAAAGCACCCAGTGCAAACGTGCCACAGGTATTTCCTAGTTTTTCTCATGCCATCAGTTCCTTTTCAAGCTGTGCTTTGTTTTCTTCTTTGTTCTATGGTTGTTGATGTAGTTGAGGTGACGGACAGTGATGCTGGCTATTTTAGGCTGCATGGCTTTCTGACTCCTGTTTTAGACTCCTTCCCCCACCCCTACCCAGTTCATTTTTGCTTGGTTTTCTTTTGAGCTTGGCATCTTCCTTAAAGGGGCTTCTTCAAATATATGCAGAGAGGCTGCTAAACTACTCTCCCACCTTACTCTCTTCCTCTGCTTTCCAGGGGTGACCTTTTAAGTTCCCTTCCTTTGCCTCTCTCTGCCTTCTCTGAATTTTCAGGGAGCCATTTTTGGCAATTTCCTTGTCTTTTTTGCAGCCCTGGGAGATACCAACCTCAGAGATCAGTTTCAAAAACTCAGCAGCAGTGCTTTGGGTACCCTTTCTGTGCATGGCGCTGTCAGAGTAGTAGTGTTTGTTATTTTAAAGGTCAGAAAGTTGTCAATGAAAAATGCACTCAGAGGTCAGATGGCCTGGACACACAACAAGAGTGTTTGAAACTGAGCCTGCATTGATATTTTAAAGGGAGCTATGTCAAAATGTGGTTTATTAAAGGGTATATAAGACAGAGTAAGAGAGAGAGAGAAAGACACCGTGGCAAGTAGGTTTCCAAACAGGAAAAAACCAAATGTTCATAGAATTGCCTGGAGGGCTCCCTGACAAAACAAAAGAGACTCTTAAAAGGAAAAGATATCTTTAGAGAAGATACAAAAGGAGGTGGCTTCGCGTGCAATGCCAGCAATTTGGAAGGCCAAGGCAAGTGGATCACTTGAGGTCAGGAGTTCGAGACCAGCCTGGCCAACATGATAAAACCCTGTCTCTACTAAAAATACAAAAATTAGCCAGGCATGGTGGCGGGTCCCTGTATTCCCAGCTATTTGGGAGGCTGAGGCAGGAGAATCGCTTGAATTCGGGAGGCAGAGGTTGCAGTGAGCTGAGATCACATCTCTGCACTCCAGCCTGGGTGACAGAGCAAGACTCCGTCTCAAAAAAAAAAAAAGATACAGAAGGAATATGGAGCTGAGGAGGCCAGGAAGGTCCACAAACCATGACAGGAAAAGTGGAAACTGCTGATGGACCCATACCACACTTAAGCAGAACGGAGACGAGGGGAGTCAGATCTCCAGCCCCAGTGACTTGGGCGCAAAAGAAGTCATGAGAGCATCAGAGACTCAAACCAGGGAAGGGGTGAAGAGACCGGGGATTTGGCCAGGGGGTCTGGGATAAGAGATTCAGAAGCCAAGGAGCTGCAGGTTGCTTGAGGGTGTTAGGAATTGGGAATCCAGAGACAGCAGAGCGTGAGGAAGCCAGCAGGGCCAGGGGTTAGGCTCACACTCTCCCTTAGCACTTGAAGGAGCCACCAGAGGCACTGCACACATGGGTGAGGCAGGCAGGTGATGGGTGGGGCAGGCAGCGGGGGAGGGTTAGGGGCTGAGTTTCCAATTAGGGTGAAGGGACCAGATTAGCCACTGTGGAACTGAAAGTCCCAGGTGAGAAGAGATCACAACTAGTCCTGGAGTGAGAATGGTGACTGTGGCTGTGGTGAGAGCCCATGCTGGGTGTGCCAGCGTGCAGTGAGGCGGACAGATGCAGGCCAGGTCACTGAGGATGTTGCAGTGGGACAGTTTAACTGGTGTGAAGAGCAAAGAATTGAGGGATGGGATTCAGACGAAGACAACCTTAGGGTTTTGGCCAGGCAGCTGGAAGAATGAGGATGTGAGCACGTCACAGAGGAAAGCCGGGAAGAAGATCAGGGCAGAGGCAAGGTGAGGGAGTTGGCTTTAGGTAATGACCTTTGAGGTGTTGGTTGGGTGTCATATAGGGAATATCCGGTAGGCAGTTGGAACTTTAAGACTGGGGTTCTTGCAGGAGGCATGGGCTTAAGATGGGGATTGGAGTCACCTGAGGAGAGGTGGTGGTTAAACTCTGGGAGTAGAAGAAGACACCCAACTAGGGAGTAGATGGAGTAGATGAAAGACTGAAGAGGGAATTGTGTTGAGAGAAAGGATGTGAAACCAAGGACTACACATGGGGACGTTGGGTGACGTGGAACAGTAGAAGGGGAGAGGGAGAGAAAGGAGAGTTCACAGAAGCAGAGGGAAAAGCGAGTGGTGGAGCAAGAGGAGAAAGTGTGAGATCTTCCCAGAGGTCCAGAAAGGTGGACTCCCAGGAAGGTCAGTGGATGTGCTGACTAAGATGTTTCCAAAGGCTTTGGAGGTTGCTGGGTGAGTAGTTCATGGCAGTTAGAGTATACGGCAAAGAATCGGGAGCCTGCAGAGGTATAGCACTGAGTGAAAAGATGTGGCCATGGGAGGAAGGAAGGGAGGGGAGTGTTCCCAGAGGATTCTACAGGGTCAAAGTTTTTTCAAGGTGGAAGACCAGACAGGACAGGTGTTCAGAGGTAGGAGACTCAAGAAGGAGAGGATGGGCAGGCAAGACAGTGCAGCCATAAGGGCTGGAGGATGGATGTGGAGGTAAGAGGGGTGTGCTTTCTGAGGAATAATGGGGGTGGCGTGGGGTACAGTCCTCATCGCGGAGCAGAGGTGCCCTCAGAAATGAAAGCACACAAGCCCACCAGGTTTCAGCAGGCAGAGGGCTAGGGGGTGAGTTTGCCTGTTCTTCCCTGTCATTTCCTTTTCTCTCTTTCACAATCTCTTCCTTTTCTTTCTCTCCTTTCCTTAAATGTCTCTTCTCCAAATAGTTAGTTTTTCTTAAAATGGTCATTATTAGAGATAAGGGCATTATTTAAGGTAGAAGTATCTTTAAAATTAACCTTTGCATTGATTTATTCAACCACTACCTTATTTTTAAAAACAAGCATGTCAAAGCCTTTGCATTTTTCTCTCAAAGACAACAGAAACCCTAAACTACAGAATTATGTTGCTTTTTCTCTGCATGTAGCTCTTGGTTGTTTTCTTCGTTTTGCGTGGTGCCTGGTAATTTTATAAAACATTCCCTTATTCATGCCGAAATGGTCATTAATAGGGTTGGTGAAATTGCAAATCTCCCCATTTCTGCACTCCTAAATTTGCAGGCATACACAAGTTATCTAAATACAGCGTGGTATTTTAAAATACGCTTTTGTACATTCTGGACCTAAAGTGTTGGGTGACCCTCTCTCTGGATGTGGCATTTGGGGTGCATGAGGGGATCTGCAGTGGGCTCAGAGGGGGTCTGAGGGCTGTGGAGAAGCTGGTGGAGGATGTGCTGTCCATGTCACTAAAGCATGTTGGCCCACGGTGGGCCCGTCACCTAGTGACCTGTGACGGAAGATAAGTATGAGCCAGGAGGCCTTCTCCTGACCCACCCAGAGGGCCTTGGCTGCATCCACTGGAAGGCAAAAAATTAGGAAGGCCCACCTGCCCATACAGTCTCCTCCTAGAGAAAGAGCACCACCCTCCACCAGCACCGAAGACCTGTTCCATCCAGCCCCCGTGACTTCCAGAGATCCTGATCTAAACTAGGAAAAGAAATTGACCTCTCTCTTTTTCCTCTTGACTTGAAACATATGAGTCAAAATAAATCATCTACATTATTATTTTTTCTTCTTTTTTTTCTTTTTTGGACATTTACAGAGCTCAGCCATCAGCCCCACTCCGGAAATTTCTTCAGAGACTCCTGGATAGTAAGTTGCTATTTTATTTTGTTTACATTGCTTACTATGTTAAATGTCAGAAATGGGAAGAGAGAAGCTTATGTTTTGGACCCAAAGTGTGTTTTGTTTGTATCAGCCTAATGGCTCTGAATGATGTACAGTTTGGTGATAAGAAGCGATCTAATAGTAGTCTTCAAATTATTTTTCTTCTGTTCTCTCGTCTTCCAAATTAATTTTGTGATGATTTGTATTACCTTTCATGAACTTTCCCCATTTCGGCATCTTTACCTTTAGAATGGGAGTTTATTTGTCTAAGTTTAGAATCAAAGTTCTTGCCTGGCATGGTGGCTCATGCCTGTAATCTCAGCACTTTGGGAGGTTAAGGCAGGAGGATCACTTGAGCCCAGGAGTTCAAGACCAGCCTGGGCAACATAGACGCTGTCTGTACCGAAAAAAAA